CAGTTTACTGTTATTGACTAACAGTGGAGGATATATCTAATTTACCTTAGTAACGTAATATACTAATATTTAGATTCCTGATAGGTTTGCAATACAATTTTAAATAAAATTTTATAAAATGAAATAATTCAAATTCATGTGAAATTCGAAACGTCGGCCACGCGAGTTCGCTTGGCTCGCCCTCCTCTGTACTGCTTAGAAGGTGGGTGGGAGGAGCGTAGCGTGAACTTATAATGTGGATGGAAAAAGGTACGTCGGCTACGCGCGTTCGCTTCGCTCGCCCTCCTCTGTACTGCTCAGAAGATGAGTAGGAGGAGCGTAGCGTGAACTTATAATGTGGGTGGAAAAAAATACGTCGGCCAGCCGCGCTCGCTTCACTCGCTCTCCTCTATAGTGTTTTGGAAATGGGTGGTAGGAACGTAGCGTTATCTTATGGAGAAACTGCTGACGTGGAAACGACTAAACAAATCCTGTAATAAGAAAATGCATAGTTGCCAAGTTATGGATGGTTTCATTTTCACTTTAGTTTAGATTGAGATATTATGTTAAGAGTTAATCTGAATATAAGAGTCAACTGCGCATTTCCTCACTACCGGATTTAGGTTTTTGTTTAGTCGACATCACGAGTGTTCCTATGGCAACAGTTTCTCCGTAACCGACTTCAGCTACACTAAAGTAAAAATTATTTGACCTGTAATTTACATTTCCTTACTACGGCAATTAGGTTTTTGTTTAGACGTTACCATGACAAGTGTCTCTATGGCAACAGTTTCTCCGTAACTATTTACAGCTAAACTAACTCATTTGTAACTTGGCAATCACGCATTTCCTTACCACGCGATTTGATTTTTTGTTTAGTCATTACTATGTCAAGCGTTCCCATAACAACAGTTTTACCATAACTGATTTCGTCAAAAATAAAGTGAACATTAAATTATCTATAATTTGGCAACAATGCATTTCCTTACCACGAGATTTGAGTTTTTGTATACGGTTTACCATGGCAATGGTTGCCATGGCAACATTTTTTACGTAACTGCTTTCGGCTAAACGAAATTTGACTTTAAATTCTGTTTAGAAATCCCCAAACTTAAATTTAATTTGATATATGACATTATATAAAAGGTTACCACGGTATGTGTGACGTCACCACAGTAACCAAAATACTGTTAGCAATTATGTTGTGGTAAGCTTATAAAGAAATGCCTTGAAAGTATCCACCTAGTAGTCACAGTTAACACAGTACAAACTGAACTAATTTAGCTATCCTCTTGTTGATAGTACTCTTTTAACTTAGATGGCTAGCGCCATTTATGAAAAAAAGAAATTCACTTGATTCAGAAAAGATTTAAAAACTTTTGGATAACACAAAGTAATTATGTTTTAAAGTTTTCGAAAACTAAATTACTTATTACTTTATAGATGACGTAATATTAATATTTAAAAATGTGTAGTACAATTCAATCAAAATAGATAAATTAATTAACGGGTGTGACCGAAAATAAATTAAAAGAACTGCTTTTGAAAGAGTATGGAAATGTTATGACAAAAAAATAAGGTGTGTATTATATTTCCTTTTTGTTGATTTTAATTGAACACTTGGCAACACCGCGCTAATTTGTATTGAGCATGACAGATATAACTCTAAATTCTAATGAATGTTTAAAATGTATGGAATGTTAGGAATGCGTAAAATAAGTGACATAAGACATGCATGGGCGGATTTTAAGAACATTGATATTAAAGTAGTTATTATAAACCGAACATTTTAAAAAACGATAGGGTTCTAAGTAAGAAGCACTTATTCAAGAAAATCTAAACCGCAAGTTAATCAAAACTTTCGCTCTAGAGTTATCGTTTCGGCATACACGCACACAGACGACCAGACGAATTTTTTTTGCATCTTCGGACTCGGAAACGTAAAAAAAAATATAAAAAAATGCAATGAAATATTGAGTCCCCATAGGAAAAGCTTCAGTAATTAAACGTGATTATAAACAATGGTATGATTTTAATTTTACAAAAAAAAAAACAATATTTTGTCTACGCTTAGTACGTGGTGTAAAAAATTGGAAATTTTAAACGATAGGTTGCTCTCTTTGTTACTCGTTTTAAAATAAACTTTTGTGGCAGTTTTTAATAATGTAATTTTTCAGAAAAAATAATACTTTTTTGATTACCGGACAACGGAGAAACAGATATAAAAAAAATTGGTTGTAAAACGTATTAAGGTTGGAATCAAATAATAAAATACAGGTGGATCCTTTTAGAAAAATGAAATATTTGATGTGTGGTTACGGAGAAACCTGTATAATGGAATTTATTTTGGTAATGTAGCTTCTGCGCTACTGTAAAATACTTTTTCTAAATCTTCTATTTTAGCTGCTGATATATTTGTCTTCAATATATTAGGTATGTCAACTGTTAAAAATGAAATATTTCTTCATAAAAAGTTGATGTTTAAGTAAAAATCGAATTTTACTTATGTATATATCTTCAAGACTAAAATTATATATCCATGATATAAATAATTTCCCTTTTAGTCAAGCGAGTAACTGCAAAATTATCGATCCAATTAATTTAGCACCGAGAGTGTTTGGTAAAAAATCAGTTACTCGCTACTGATAAACCCCATAAATTTGCATGCTAAATAGATGAAGCATATATACATAACGTATATACTTGTTTGTGATTATTAATGCTACTGAGATAAGTTTCCAACATGAACAAGGCAGTTACATTTAGAGAATTTTAAAAAGAATTTCGCGTGATGAACTATATTAACCAGACTGATAGGTATAACTTTTTAACGCAAAAAAGGACGAAAAAGTTACATACCTGGCACTAAACTTTTTTAAGTAGCTTACCCGATTAGGTATTATCTGTTTTATGCAGAGTAGGCCACATAAGTCTACAGAATGAATTTAATTTCACATTCATTCTAATAAAGACACTGTGTGGATATGAAATCCACCAACCATAGTTTATATTTAATGGCCAGTCTAATATTCTATTTAAAATTTTAAATAATTTTTAGTATATTTTTTAGTTATTAGAATGAAATATATTTAAAAATTAGCGATTTTTGTGAAAAATGGCCAGATATCTACTTATATTACACAAAAATACTATTGTTAACTTTAAAAAATAAATAAATTTTTTTTTAACAAATACATAATACCGGATGTCCCATTAATATTTAGCAAGCTTATAACTTTTAAACGAAAGTACTTAAAAACATTCGGTTTTCACCGAAATGTATCAAATTATTCCAAGTTTTATTTCGGTGTGTACAAAATTATTTAGCACTTCCGGTTTACTGAAAAAAAAATGGCTGTTTTTTAAAGATGTATTTGTTAATTTTTTTTAATGAAACACCCCGTATATTTTTTAATGCTCCGAAAGCCACTCCTTTTAGCTATCTGGCGATATAAAGTTTTTTGAAATCGATGAAGAAATGACTGAACAATTAAATTTTTTGAAAAAGCCTGCAAAATCAATAATTTTTTAGTAGGCTTTGGTACGTTTGTTAGAAATGTCAAAATTGTTGTTTTACCTGTTTTAAATACTTAGACTAAGGTTTTAAGTAATTCGTTTTACATTAAAATGTTATTTTCTGAAACAGAAAAGGCAAGTATCATAATTAATTTTGCTGAAACAAAATCTATTATGCGAACAAGATGAAGATTTTTTAGAGAATTTAATAAAACAGCGCCGACATACAAGACAATAATGTTGGAAAATATAATGGGACACCAGGTAAATTGAAAAGTAATTAATAATTACAAATAAAAAAAAAAACGATTATAAAAAATTATGTTACACTCCAAATTATTATGGTTTAAAAAATCATTGGTTCAATAATAGCTCTCTTTGCTATTCATTTTTTTTTCCTAATTTAGTTTATTATAAGATGTAAGTTTATTATAAGATGTAATAGACAGGTTTGTATTATGATTGTGTACGATTGTTTAATTCAAAAATTGTGTGATATTAGATAAATACAAATGTACGCGTGTAGACTATTTTTGAACGATCAGTGGCGTACCCACGGGGAGTGATAATAGGGATATATCCCCCAGGAATCCCCAGCACGTCTGCAAACTCAAACACATTATCAAAGTGATAAGTGATCCTAAGAAAAAATGAAAGCTTTATAATAATTATTAAATTAAATACATGTTAAAATTACTTCAATAGATAAAACATTAATTTATCTGAAAATTTTTTTGAGGAATTTTTGCGACACTTTAAAAACGAGTTTTCTAATTATATCATCGTCGATGAGTTATATAATATGGTATCAGCTCCTGGACTACGTGATCTAAATCAGATTCCAAGGCTAGGACAAGCTGAGACCTGTACGGTGTAGGCGTGTGCTCGTTGTCGCTGCAAATCTATCCAACTACCACAAACACCACCAACCACTACTACTTTACAATTTGAACGCGTGCCGTATGGTTCAGGATTTAAAGTTGACTTTTACTTCACTTAGTGTTTTACAGTTTTGTATCTGCCGCAACAAAGATTGTGAATTGTTTATGTTTTAATGTGTGGTCAGAAAAATTAACAAAAATCTAGTTATAAGTAAGCAAACTTCTTTGGCAAACATCTTGCAAAGAAAGAGAACTGATGCAAACGAATCATCTAGTTCATTGACCTCGAATGCAACAGCAACAGCTTCTGCAAGTAAAAATCAAGCTGAATGTGTGTCTGTATATCCTAATGATATTGGAAACTTTGTGAACAACAAACAAACCACAGATACACTTATATTTATTAATTCACTTTGGGTTCCACCACATATAAACACGTTTCCTTTACTTGGCAAGTACAATGCCAAAAAAGTATAAATTCAGTTTCATCATTAAAGGCTTACAGAGTTTAATTGGCTAGTCTACTCAGCCAAGGAAAAGAGAGCATTCTGCAAATTTTGTGTCTTTTTCACCACAACAGGAAGTGTTAATAGTCAGACATTAGGTGCTTTGGTAAAAACCAAAATGGATAATTGGAAAAAGGTAAAAGAAGTATTTATTTAATTTTATCTTATATATCTGTAAGCTAGGTTATAATTTATTACTGTAGATGTTTAATTCACACCAAAGTACTCAATTTCATAAACAATCTATTACTGCGTACGAAAATCTAGTAAAAATTCAAGAGGGAGGTCAGGAGAATGTAATAGACTTAATAGATGGAAACAGAAAAAAAAAACAGGTGGCAGAAAATAGAGCTAAAATTAAACCACTTATAGAAACTGTATTAGTATGTGGTAGGGAGGAAATGTCACTTAGAGGACATCGAGATGCCGGGGAACTGAAAATAAATAATAGTTCCGCAAAAGAAGGAAAATTTCGTGCAATTTTAAAATATAGAGAAAAAGGGGACGCTGAATTAAGAGAAACACTTGAGCAATCAAATAAAAGAGCCACCTATATAAGCCCAAAAATTCAGAAATAAATTATTACTATAAAATACTATTATGCTAAACAAACTGGTAACAAAAATTAACAAAGCAGGGGCGTTTTCTATTCTAGTAGACGAAACTACCGATATATCGACAACTGAACAAGTAAGATATATCAATTAAAAATAAAATCCACGAAGATTTCTTACAGTTTGTTGCAGGTGAAAGTTTGTCAAATATAATTATAAGTAGTTTACAAAAATTTGGATTTGATCTCAACAATGTTGTCGGGCAAGGTTACGATGGGGCAAGTAATATGACAGGGCAATTTAATCGTCGTACCTACTCTAAGGTGATATATGTACATTGTGTTGCCCACTCTTTGAATTTGGATTTCAAAAGCTTGCGAAATTCAGCAAATTATATACTATATAAAAATGTTATGATTTCTTTAATACCCCTAAGAGGCAGAATGTTCTTTTGAAAAATGTTCATGAGTCTGATAATAATCCTTCCGCAAAAACCCATAAAGCAGTACAAGATTGTTTGGAATTATTTGTTTACGTGGTCGAAAGTTTAGAAGAAATATTGGACTAGAAAGTTTCTGCAGATGCAAATATGTTGCGAAACAGCTTAAATGATTCCGATTTTCTGGTAACTCTCCAAATCATAATTTAAATATTTAACTTTGGCTTACTTCTTTGCCGTTTCCTCCAAAAAGCTGATAGTGACCTAGAAGAAGCCATAGCTAATACAATTTCTTGCTTAAAAAATATACGTCAAGATATTACAAAAGAGTTTGATACGATTTTCAATAAAGCTTAGGTAAAAGTTAAAATATAAAATGTGTGTGTCATTTTTAATTTTTTTTTTTTTTAATTTTAGGCTGTTGCCTCAAGTATTGGCATTAACATTCAGATGAAATGAGTCGTTTTACGCCAAAAAAACTGAACAGATCCTGTCATAGAAAATTCAGAAACACTAGCAATTGACTATCTTTGGATTGCAATTTTTATACCATTCATTGATCATTTCATTAGTCAGCTAGAGGAAAGGTTTGCTAATCATTAACACATTTTTAAAGCCTTTATGTATTTGCTGATGGGAAAAAAACAGTAGCTGATTGCGATGTTTATGACGAATTTTTAGATTTCTATATGTGCCTAAAGTTATTTTAAAAAGAGAAATTAAATAATGGCACAATTATTTGAATAGCCACCCCGATACAAAAAAAAGTACGCGTCAAACTTTGGCGCTGTAACCTACCACACCCAGGTACCCGAATAATTTATTAATTCTATTTATTAAATATAATATTGCATTTTTATTAAATTCAAAATCCTTCATTTAACGAAAAATCTTCCAGATAATTAAATCTTACTTACAACACCTAATAAATAATATTTATAACCACTTCCGTAAAAGATTCAAATTTCGTGCACGTGTCTGAGAACGTAGATCATAAAACATATTTCTTTTCACGAAGTAATCATCATTAAACCACTTAACTCGCTTATCTTTCTAGTTTCGATGTTAAGACCAATTTTGACAATATTTCGATACACAAAGCTTTCAAGGCAAGTAATAAATAAGCCACCCCCTTTGCGACCACAGTATTTCGATGGAAACTAAAGACAGAGAGACGTCACAAAAGCCATTGAAATTTAGTATGAGAAGGCAGACCCAAATTAGCTCGGATTCATTCAATTTTAATTATTTGATGTGTAAGCATTCATTTATTATTTGTACCCAGTTATATTTCAAGTTCAATAGTCAGTACCCTTTCTAAAAAAGTTCTTCCTAAAAAACGTCTATCCTACAATATCTTCTATTCCCGAACGCTGTCAACATCCCACGCCTAATTTTCGACGCTTGCCATCTCCAAATATTTCCTTCGTAATATCCTTATCGACACCCTTCGTCACGTCCCGCATCACTTACATAATTCTACCGTATATCTGTCTCAATGCAGTACCGTATTGAATACATTCCTTGCCACCACGACACTAGGCGCCTCGACGCGAGGTGACGCTGCGATGTACCTAAATCGACGCCGTCACAACGCTAGATGAAATTAGTACATAATCTAATGTCTGTATTTTCAATGGTGAGTCAAAAGATTTATGTAACTTTCTATGAGATTCTTTGGGTTTCGTTTAGACGAGAGCTTTTGACATTTGCTGCAAAATATTATCAATATTAGCAATAAACCACATTGCCTTTGGATCATACACCCCAAAGACAGTTAGGATAGACATCTGTTTTCGAGGGGTAAAATTTTGAGTATTTTAATAGAAACTATAAAAATCAATATTAAAAAATATACAGGGTTGTATTAAGTTATTTTAAAAGAAATTATAATAATCCTTATAAAATTTATACTGAGTTATATTAAGTCATTTCAATAGAAATTATAAATATCAATATTTTGGAAATATACAGGGATCTTGGATAAATTGTACAAACCAATATAGTAAAGTTTAATAGTAAGTTAACCAACTGGTGAATACACTGTTCGTTGACTTAAGGGGGGACACCTATATGCTAAGCAACCCGTTCTACTAGGTTTGAAACAAAGTATATGTGAAATCAACATCGTAAGGTAATTAACTGGCGAATTGGCGCTGTTCGTTACTTCCGTTGGTCATCACCTCTATACTCATCGAAATATTTACCCAAGAGGGTGCAACCTGTGTATATCTAGAATAGAATAGAATAGAATCAACGTCAACACAGTAATTAATCAACTGGCGAATTGGCGCTGTTCGTTAACTGTATGGTTTTATTTATCAATTTGCTTTGCATCAAATCCTGGTTTACCTCAATTAGTAAGTATGAAATTTAAAGTAAAACTTGTTAGGTAAATAATAACATTTCAGTGAGTAAAATAACGAACAAAAAAAATGGGTACCGGGGGTGAGCCGTTACAACGCATTTGGAATTATGCAACCAACAAGCATATCTTAACGTGTAAAAACTGTTGTTAATATTCTGTGTAATACCAGTTTCCATAGACACACCAGAGAAAACATTCGTTACAAAGAATTAGAACCTATATCTTTGAAATTCTATTTCTCAAAACATAGAGAGTTGCCTATTTCCGAAAATGAAATTATCGATGAAATGGCAGAAAAATTTAGGTGATTAGATTTTGTTATATAAAATTGAATACTCAAGTTTACAATAAAAATTTTTTCCTTGTTTAATTTTGTTATCCCTCCCCAAGCTCCGTATCTGGGTACACCACTGTGAACGATATGTTTTATCAATACTACTAAGACGTATGCATTGGTTCTCTTATCTTTTAATGATTATTTCAAAAATAATATTGCATTTCACTGTAAAAATTATTATTATCAGTAACATTTTCTGTAATCATCATATTCAGTCACACCTAGATTTAAAAAAAACTAAACATAGATAACATAGGTGAACAAAATGCAACATTTTGTTGTGATATGTACAAAAATAACGTATAATATATAAAATCATCAGAAAATGACCTTGGATATTTTCAAATATCCACAATTTATTTGCTACAAAGTAATGCACGTTATACGGAAATACAAACTTATCATAAAGCAAGGGATATAAGTATTTCAGATTGTTATGCATTTCTAACAAACTAAGTTAACAACAGGATATAAAACAAATTAGATTGCTTAAATTATGGTATTTTTTATATTCAATAGTGGTTAATGCAAATGTTCGATGTGCCGTCTATTTTGCTGCTGTTCAATCGTTAGTTTTATAAATTTAGCAGAGTATTTTAAATAAAAATGTTACGTCTGATAGAATATTTTTATTACCTATAAGTTACTGTGACATCTAGAGATATTTTACAATATACCGGGGTTTTAGTACTATTAAAGATAATAATATATAAAATTAAATATCTCTAACAACAATCACCATCCGTTCTTCCAAATTGAACTCAGCATTATTCAACATTTCTAGTTGAATTGCATCAATTTGATGCCTAATACTTTTTTAATTTTTCCAGCGTTTGTTACTCGTATTCAAAACACCATTTTTTTATAATCCCACAGCTAGTAATCTACTGGTTTAAAATCAGGCGGTCATAAAAGGACAGGAATTTATAAATTACCGGCTTATATCTATCTAAAATAAAATGTTGAATCTGTTAAAAAATTGATAAAAATAAAGAAAAATAGGACTCCTTGGATTACACATACTTTAGTTATGATCCAACTTTTAAAAATATAAACAATACGGCAACAGAATGTCTCAACATAACTGTATCCATGAAAACAACATCGACCAGAAAATGGAAGTCATTCTTAGTCTCACTCCCCTTGATATTTACATCAAGGAGATTGCTCTGACGACAATGACACGCCTCCGCACGGTTGGAATAGAATCTGATGCACGTTCTGGTAAGGCGAGATGTCGCTTTTGGCAGGAGGCGCTCGATAGGTTCCCACTGCTTCAAGCGAACATGGACTCCATCTCACCGAGATATATTATCCATAAGCCACATAAAGTTATAATACAACAAATAGAAGAGCCGGAAGTGACAGGTACAATTCATATCTACACCGACTATTCTAAAACAAAACAAGGCTCAGGATGTGAAATATACTCCAGATTCTTAAACCTAAACATAAAATGGGCTGTAAGCAATAGTGCCAGTGTAGTTCAAATAGAGCTAACGGGGATTCTCATAGCATTAAAAGAAATAACCAGAAACAATAGCTCTGAAAGGAACATGCGCATCTATACAGATAGTAGACAAGCACTACTCATCCGGAATAGAGCACGAATTTACTCAGGGTTAGTACTAGAATATCATGATGCTGTGGCCGAAGTATCCGTCAACAATGTGGTCATCTTAAGATGGATCAAAGATCACGGCACATCAAAAGGTCTTGCTGATTCACTACCTAAGAAAGCAGCCAACCCAATACTTTTTGGACCTGGCCCTTTTGTTGGCCTGACAAAATCGGTAGTGACAGACCTAATCAAAGAACAGTCCCTTTTGAAATTCGAGAAAAGATTGGATGAAACAAGAAACTGCAGAGTTGCCAGGAAG